CAGCTGGGATGACTAGCAGACTAGCCTGGGCTTGCTTGTGTGGCAACTCAGTAGAATTACAAGAGGGGGAGCTGAAAGACACAGACTTCTTAATGCCTAGGCTTGTGTTGGCTAAAGCAAGTCAGAGAGCCAGCCCCTTTTCAACGGGTGGAGAAATAGATACAGGGAACTGAGGAAAATTGGGATCATTATTACAGTCAGTCATTCCCTTATAGATGTGTCATATCTCCTAAAGCTATTATGGATATGAATTTTTAAACAAAACCAAACTATTCGATGATGTTGAGTGATTATAAAACTTTCCTACCATAGTAATCACATATTCTCCTCTGATCAGAAGTTATAGGTCACCTGTTGGTTGTCATTTATCTTGATACTTTTCTCCCTGTTACTTTCTGGACATACCTTTGTTGTTCTCCTCTTTAACTGCACAAAGGTCCTTTTGCGTTTAAGTGGTTCCTTCTCCTTTCCTCCTTCACTTCTAATTTTCCCAGATAGGAAGGGCTATGTACCTTGTATCTTACTAGTACAGGCTGTCATTTTCTTCCTTTTGCTACCCCACATTTCTATGTGGCATGTAGCATTTTCTTGTTAGGTTAGTTGGTCTTTACAGGTGAGTTTTACGGTCTCTGTGTTAGAGATTAAGAGCTCAGGTGCAGAGGCTTTGCTGGAGGGCTGGGATCTGGAAAGAAGCATAGCTACTCCAGTGCTTTCTAGTGTACATGCTGCCCTCTTACCATGACTTGTATCTTTGTCATCTTTAAATATTCTTGCTCTCTTTTCTGTTTTTCCCCCAGTTGAATCGGGAATAAGGCTACAGTGCTTTTCATCTCTTTTGGCTGTGTTTAGTTTTTTCTGCCTGTTGATTAGGCTACATCAAGACTTTTTTTTTTTTTTTAATTCACCAATGAATTACAAGAGAAGCTAAAAGTAGGCTTTTTATTCAAGGATGTTGGCCAAAGAAAGACATCTGTGCTCTGGAAATGAAATTAGCTGCCCAAGAGTGCCCCAGAGTTAGAAAATGTTAGTTGTTTTTTTTTTGTTTTTTTTTTTCCATTTATTTATTTTATTGCATTTTAGGTTTTGGGGTACATGTGAAGAACATGCAAATTGTTGCCTAGGTACACACGTGGCAGTGAGATTTGCTGCCTTCCTCCCCATCACGTACATCTGGCATTTCTCCCCTTGCTATCTCTCCCCAGCTCCCCACCACCCACCGTCCCTCCCCTGTTTCCCCCCAACTGACCCCAGTGTGTAGTGCTCCCCTCCCTGTGTCCATGTGTTCTCATTGTTCAACAC